ATAGTATGCAAAATTATGGAGGATATTATCAGGAGAAGAATGGTGGAGCACCTAGAAAGAAATGAGTTTATACACGACAACCAGCACGGTTTCAGGGAAAGGAAACCCTGTGTCACAAACCTAGTGGAGTTTTATGACAAGGTTATGGAAGTAATACAAGAGAGAGAGGGGTGGGCAGATTGCATTTTCTTGGACTAAGAAGGCTTTTGACACAGTTCCACACAAGAGATTAGTGTAAAAGCTAGAGGATCAGGCAGATATAACAGGAAAGACACTGCAGTAGATCAGAGAATTCCTGACAGGAAGCATCAATGAATCAAGGTATGTAATTATGTGTCACAGTGGGCGCCTGCGATGAGCGGGGTTCTACAGGGGTCAGTCCTAGCACATGACAGAAGGGATAGAGTCAGAAGTGTCCCTGTTTGCAGATGATTTGAAGAATTCAATCACACGAGGATCAGGTAGGACTACAAAGGGATCCAGACAGGCTGCAAGTCTGGTTCAGTAACTGGCTTCTGTAGTTTAACCCCACCAAGTGCAAAGTCATGAAGAATGGGGAAGGGCGAAGAAGACCACAGACAGAGTACATGCTAAGGGACCAAAGACTGCAATCTCACTCATGAAAAAGGATCTTGGGGCGAATATAATACCGAGCACATCTCCTGAGGTGCACATCAACCAAAGAACTGCTTCAGCATATGGGCGCCAGGCAAACTAAGAATAGTATTTCAACATCTTAGTAAGGAATCGTTCAAGACTGTACACCATGTACATCAGATCCATATTGGAATATGCAGCACCAGTTTGCAACCCGTAACTGGTCGAGCACATCAAGAAATTAGAGAAAGTGCAAAGGTTTGCAACAAGACAAGTCCCAGAACTAAGGGGTAAATCCTACGACGAGAGGTCAAAGGAAATCGACGTGACGACACTGGAGGATAGGAGAGATATAGGGGACATGTTAATGGTATATAAAATACTGAGAGGGATTGACAAGGTAGATAGGGACAGATGTTTCAGAGATGGGACACCGCAACAAGGGGTCACAACTGGAAGATGACGACTCAGATGAGTCCACAAGGATGTTAAGAAGTATTTCTTCAGTTATGGAGTAGTCAGGAAGTGGAGCAGTGTGGAGAGTGATGTAGTGGAGGCAGGATCCATACATTACCTGGAGTTTACCTGGAGAGGGTTTCAGGGATCAACGCCCCCGTGGCCAAGTCTGAGACCAGGCCTCATGGTGGAACAGGGTCTGCTCAACCAGGCTGTTACTGCTCGCCGCACGCAAGCTGACGTACGAACCACAGCCCGGCTGGTCAGGTATTGACTTTAGGTGCCTGTCCAGTGCCTTCTTGAAGACAGCCAGGGGTCTATTGGTAATCCCCCTTATGTATACTGGGAGGCAATTGAACAGTCTTGGGCCCCGGACACTTACTGTGTTGTCTCTCAGTGTACTCGTGGTGCCCCTGCTTTTCATCGAGGGAATGTTGCATCTCATGCAGAGTCTTTTGCTTTCATAGGGAGTGATTTTCGTGTGCAGGTTTGGTGCCAATCCCTCCAGTACCTTCCAAGTGTATATTATCATGTATCTTTCTCTCCTGCGTTCCAGGGAATACAACATCAAGGACCTTCAACCGTTCCCAGTAATTTAGATGCCTTATTATACTTATGCGTGCCGTGAAAGTTCTTTGTACACTCTCCAGGTCTGCAGTGTTGCCAGCCTTGAAGGGGATCGTTAGTGTACAGCAGTATTCCAGCTAGAGAGCACAAGCGATTTGAAGAGAATCATCTTGGGCTTGGCATCCCTAGTTTTGAAGGTTCTCATTATCCAATCCCATAATTTTCCTAGCAGATGAGGTAGATACATTGTTGTGGTCTTTGAAGGTGAGATCCTCTGACATTATCACTCCCAGGTCCTTCACATTACTTTTTCGCTCTATTGTATGGTTAGAATTTGTCGTATACCCTGACACAATTTTAATTTCTTCAAGTTTCCCATATCTGAATAGTTGAAATTTCTCCTCGTTGAGCTTTATATTGTTTTCTGCAGCCCATTTAAGATTTGGTTGTGTCCACTTTTAGTCTCGCAGTGTCTTCGATGGAGGTCACTGCCATGGTAATACAAGCGGCAGCGGCAGCAACGGTATCCTACCAGCTCTTCTTTTTCAAAAAAACATCGCTCAACAAAACTTGTGATGGCCTAAGTGAAAGTTCAACTACATGAACCCACGTAGACCACAACATGACCCAAAAAATACTAAGAATGTAACCCAAATCTTGACAAAATTAGAAGATCTAAGGAAGCAGCTCTGCTAACCCAAACACTGCCTCCGCTGCCAGACAACACTTAACCCCCAAGCTCCCAAAAAAA